CAGCTGTATGCCAGTCTAACATAATACGTTCTCAGAAATGCCACGGTAGTGTGACAAAGACCTCAAAGGAATAAGAAAGTGTTTCTTCCCAAAATTCAGATTTCAAACACGTTTTCTCACGTTTCCTGTCATGTGTATAGTTTTTCTAACAGGTTTTGGTTTTGAAAGAATTTCATTTATAGTAGGGTGCAGGTTTTTACAAAATTGTGTGCATTTTTAACATCTACAAAATTCATTTGTAATGAAAGCTACAGAAAATATGCTTTACAGATATAATGAAGTATTGCCTTTACTTAAAGGGATAGTTCACCCAAAATGTTACATTTTCTGAACATTTACTCATCCTCAGGCCATCCAAGATGTAGATGAGTTTGTTTCTTCATCAGAACAGATTTGGTCTGGGCCCTGCTTTATGCCAGGTCACGACCGCCTTAGAGATTTCAAATGAAAATCATGGCACAGAATAATCATACTCACTGGAGGTTAATTAACGGCAACTGATGAAAACTTTCCAGGTCGGATGAAGATGACGGCTGTTGAAACTCCTGGCTTTTGTTGCCTGACATGCCTTTGTTCACTTTGAGGTCTGATCACATTGGGGTTTTATATATCCACCAGCAACATCATTAGGAGCTGTGCATTCATGCTTAGTACCTTTTAGTCAGATGATTCTCAATCCTGGTTTAGCTAAAAAAACATCACAATAATCCACAAGTAATCCATCAAGAAGTTTTCAACTTCTATATCCATTATATTGCTTTCTCCAGTGAAAAAGTCATCTCACCTGAGTCAGGAGAGAAATCAAGCACCATTTACAAACAAATACTGTCCAAAAACAGTTCCGATTATGTCGGTGGATTTTGGTGTGAGAGGACAACAGGGCATTATTATAGATTATGGACTTGTATTTTGGTTAGAAAGGACGGTTTAAAGTTTAAACGCCTTAATGATGGATTTATTTTCTACAAACATGCACTGGAGTTGTGTTCATTATTTGTGGATTATTATGATATTGTTATCAGCTGTTTGGACTCTCATTCTGATGGCACCCATTCACTGTAGAGGATCCATTAGTGAGCAAGTGCTGTAATGCTATATTTCTCCAGATCTTTTTAGATGAAACAAACTCATCTAAATCTTAGATAGCCCGAGGGTGAGTAAATCTTAAGCAAATATTCATTTTTGAGTGAACTATTCCTTCAAAGTTGAAGTCTTTTATTTTTGCAAAAGTTTTTATTTTGACTATTATGATACAAATTCGTCTGTCGTCCATTGTTCTGCAAAACAGATCAACCTACAAATGGCTTACATGGACTAGAATACAATGTTGTGAATACAATGTTGTATTTGTATGAAACTGTACACAATTTGGCTTTAAGTTAAATTGTATCCAAAATTTCTGCTTTAAAATCATACGTCTTGTTGCTGTGAAGGTGGTTGCTTTGGGCTGGTGTTTCGGGAAGAAGACCTACCTGAAGAGCAGCTGGAATATTCTCGATGGTATGCTGGTGATGATCTCCGTGATTGACATCCTGGTATCCATGATCTCCAACAGCGGCACTAAGATCCTGGGAATGCTTCGGGTACTACGGTTACTGAGGACCCTGCGTCCACTCAGGTACACAACACAACTGTTCAAACATCCAGTCAGTGCTGCGTTAAGACATTATTCTAAATAATAGTAATGAGTACATCGAAGCTTTAATGCACAAGTGCAGTGCTGAAGGCTACATACATAAACACGTATATGTACTTCGTGTCAGAGTGCTAGATTTGCACATCTTAAATAAGCATCCACTTTCTTACAAGAAGCATAATTAATGTAAAGACTGAAGTCCCACAATTAGCCTCTTCCTCACAGAAGCATCAATTAGCTCCTAATTGATGCAGTATGTAGCTGTGTTTGTGTTTATGCATATGCATGTATTTGTGTGCATATGTGTGTGCGCTGTGCACCTTTCCTCCTGCAGAGGGAACTTCTGGAGGCCTTCCCTACTCTTAAATATTTATGACATATTCAAGCAGAAAATAAAAATCAAATATTCATCTTTCCTGCCCAATTTCCCCACAAAATGCTTACACTGGTCTTTCACCCCCAGTCACTCCCTTCTCCCTTTTCAAGTACTCCTCAATTTAGGGTCAACTTCCGCAATTTCCTAATACTACCAAGAGGCTTGTATTAAAAATACAATATATTCCGGTAGTTGTGTTTTCACTTGCCTTTCAACTGTGTTGGTGCAACATTAATGTGCTGTCAACAACATTTTTGAAAAGGAACTGGAAAGAAAATACCATTTGGATTTGTTTTTGCATTTTATTTATGTTACTCTGCCAGATACAAGGAACTTTCAAACATTAAATGGCAAAAACCAACAACAACAACAACAATTTTTTTTGTTGCCTACATGTATATTTATCATATAATATTTATACTGCATTAATGTAAATTACATACTTTTGCTCCTGTGAACTACTAAAGAGGAAAAAATGTTGAGGGAAAAATGTAGTAACTGTACTACAGTAACTATATTTGTTTGGTACACATGCACGCTGAACTGAAACACCTATAAAAATATTTGGTACGGATATATCTACTGTTGCACTACTGTTATAGAGAGACAGAGAGAGGATATATGAGAGTATATCTAATGGTGCTTTTCCACTGCATGGTACGGCACGGTACGGCTCGGTACGGTTCACTTTTGGGGGTTTTCCACTGGGTACAGTACCTGGTACCTGGTACTTTTTTTTAGTACCACCTCGGTTGGGGTTCCAAGTGAACCGTACCGTTACCAAAACGTGATGTGTAAACTCTGCCGATCACGGATTGACCGGAGAGAATCATCATTACCTGCGTCACTGAACTTGCGACACAAACACAAAAGAACCACTAGATTTAAATCAGCACAGCCAGCGAAGGATCGAACGCAACTGTTTTGAACGAGCGCACCTTTTTTTTAACAACCAAAAAGTTTTGTTGTCTGTTGAGGAAGTACAGACGTTCCTCTCGTTGATAGCAGAGGAGCGGATCCAGCAAGAGCTTGATGGGGCGACGCGGAATGAAAAATTTTTTTTTAGGAGTCGTGGTAGTAGAGGCGGTACAACTATAACGACATGTGAGTAATCCCGCCCACTCTAAAGCGGTACTGAACTGCAGTGGAAACGCGAACCGTGCCGAGCCGAACTGTGCCGTGCCGTACTGAGTCGTACCGAGCCGAGTCGTACCACGCAGTGGAAAAGTGCCATAAATGTGTGGGTGTCTATGTATGTATACTGTATGTATATGTATATACTTTTGTACCTGCAGACTAGTAAAGAAAAAAAAATGTTGCTGAGGGAAAAAAAGACCATAATTGCATTTCTGTCATGACAACTCTCGGAGGGATTGGCATGGTAATGTACATGACAATGTTAATGTATTTGGTGCCAGGTATTTGAATATTGAGCAGTAAGCTCATTGGCTACCGATACAGGAGAGAACCAATCAGCTGCCATGTGACAATGATGTCACCAGGTCAGATTGAGCTAGACCTATCGGACTGCGCCATCTAGAGTTTCATGCCACAACTCTGTATTAATTCAATGAGAAATTATTAGTAGCCCGGGTGGAACCAATCTTGGCTCTGGATCCCAAGTGCCTGGTCTGCTAATTATTGACCTCTGGTGTGGATTATCCATGTGCATACTTTTTCCTGAATCCATGATTTTCTAGTCTTTTTATTAGTATTCTAATTTGTGCTGATAAAGCATGCTTGTTTGCTGAACTATATTGTGCCAACTAGGGATGATGTATTTTGATATGACGAATCAGTCTTCCAGCAAATCTTTTAAGGCATCCTTCACCAGTTTGCTAAAACAGCAAATATAATTCATGTCACTACCCCTGAGCATCACTATTACGCCACTGCTACTGAATAGTGCATAGAGATTCAAGCATACCCTTATAGATAATGAATAGTATGTGGAACAAATCTTGAATTCCTTTTTATGATTTTATTCCGAAAAAGTATTGAATTTTATCCACTAGTGGCATAGTTACATAAGGTGAATTAACCTTTAAACAGTCTGTGTGATAAGGTCCCATTATAACTAAAGACAGTTGCTTTGGTTGACTGTCAGAAAATGTAGAGCAACTGGAGAGAAAAAAAAACGCCCTGTAAATTAAACATGAAGTGGTCTGTGTTTTCACCTCGAGCTCCTCTGCATGAACATTTTAAAGATTCTCACAGAGAGTTTCATCCACTGCCAGAATCCTCTGCTTCAGAGAACTTTACTGTGAGTGTGTCTGCCTTTGCACCGCCGAACAACTTTTGAAAGTTTTACTTCTTGATCATTGAGACTTTATATTAATGCACCTCTGTGTGAAGTCCAAGTTGAAATCAAAAGAAAGACAAAGACAGCTGTAAAAATTCTCCACAGCGTGGGCTCAGCTACTCCGGCAAAAGTGAATTCAGGGAGGGGTGGGTAATCCAGACCACATGTGTATCTGGACCACTCTGTTCAGTGAGCTTAAAGGGACAGTTCACCCAAAAATGAAAAAAAATTCTGCTATTGTCTACTTACTCTCCTGTCTTTCGAATCTGGTATGACTCACTTACTTCCTTTCTTTTAGCAGGTGTTCCAAACTGCTCTTATATCTAGATTTTTTTTTTTTATAATTTAAATAATGTATATTATTATTAATATTTCAATTAATTCCTGTGACCCTGGACCACAAAGCCAGTCTTATTTGTAGCAATAGCCAAAAATACATTGTATGGGTCAAAATTATCGATTTTTCTTTTATGCCAAAA